CCTTTAAGGAGATGGACAGTGGCTGCAGCCATGGATTCTAGCACATGGGGATTGTGAGGATTGTGGGACCGGCAGAGCTGGCCCGGACTTGATGATGGGCAGCTACTGCTCATTCCTTTTGTAGGGTGCATGACCTCAAGGGAGCAAAGATGTGTGGCTTCTAGTGCTTCTGGGTGTGTGTCTGATATCTTGGGGATGCAAGTACCCCAGGACTACCTTCTCCTGTCTGGGGTGACGGAGCTTGGAGCCAGAAGCACAGTGAAGACAAGCTGTGGGGGGGTCCAAGAGCAGAGAGCAGACTGGAGGGGAGGCAGCTGGGAGCTCTCTGTGGGCGAGTGCCCCCTGTTCAAAGCCCTCCCACCCTCAGGCCCCAGACATGGTAGTCTACGCCTTGGCTCTCCCAGCTCCTGTCTCCAGACTTGCTGCTTATAAACCCTGGTGATTATCCATGGTTGGGCTCTGGCTTCATGTCTTATCATGTTCCAGCTCCAAGCAAGATGTTTAAAACTTGTTCTGGCTTCAAAGGATTGGCGGCTGCTTCCAGGGGTGGGGGCAGGGGTTGGGAGGGGTGTGGAGGGGGAGGCCTTTCAGTCAGGGATGGGGGCAGCAGGGCCAGGTGAGGTCACCTTCTTGGCTTGGGGCCTCCCAATTTGCCCTGGACTGCTTTCTTCATCCTGCAGTAGCTCCTGAGGGAGGGAAATTCTCATTCCCTGACATTCATCCCCAAGAAGGATTTCCTCATGTCCTCCTTGTGACCCCAGAAATTGGTCTGTCCTCCCACACCCTGACCAGCCCCATGACCCTTCTCAGGCCCAGCTGGTCTTTAGAAACCAGACCCAGGGCCAAGGAAGCCTGAGGCTGTGAACACCTTGTACCTACCTCTCCCCTTGTGTCGAAGCAAATTATCTGGAAAGCTGAGTGCTGCTGTCCACCACCTTTGTCTTATCAAGATACAAAGTGAGATTCAGAGAGGCTGATCACCCGCTGGAGGGGCAGGTCTGGGTTAGAATCAGAGGCTGGCAGAACCCTAAAAAGTATACTATTAGCATGGCCCTGGAGTCATCCCCTTACCCCCAGGGTGGCTCTGAGCAGTGGGCTGGGGGCTCTCAGGGGCTTCTCCTTGGGGGAACACATCCCAGTGTGAAACCACAGAAATCAAGACCAGCTGAGCCTGCCCTCTGGCCCCGGCCCCTCCTCACAACAGCCCCCACGCAGGCTCTGGAATCCCAGGCGGCTGCAGGAGTGGGTCTGGGGGGTAAGGGTGTGGTTGTGGGGGAGGGATTTCCTGGTGGCCCCACATGTGTGAAATTTGCCCCAGCTGTGCCCCTCAGAGGGAGGAACTAACCCCACCATCATTACTGGTAATCACTTTACAGAGTGGTGGGACAGTGCTCATGCATTCAACCCTGCTGCCTGCCAGGCAGGGGGCCCAGGCTGGTGTTTCCCATGCTGGGGAGGGAGCAGTGAGGGAGAGAAGGGGGCCCACCCACAGACTGGCTCAGAAACGCACAGTCACTCAACAATCAGCTCTCAACGCCCCTGGAGGTTTAGAGCAGAACAATATTAGGGACCAAGCCTTAGGGGTCCTGAGCTCTTGTGGAGGCCAGGGGCATGTGGAGGGGACAGCTGAGCACTCAGGCGCACCTACCAAGAAACAGTCATATTCTACAAAGGGCTGGCACAGTGACTAAAACATTTGGATGCTGATCACAAGTTGGGTGGTTTGGACTCACTGGCTGCTCTTCCAAAGAAAGGTGTCTGGAGGCTTCTGCGGGCCAGTTCTACTCTGTCCTGCTGAGCGGCTATGAATCAGAACAAACTGGATGGCAGTGGATTTTGGGTTTGAGATGGGGTTCCTCCTCCTAGTGAGGCCCTCTCCCCACCCCTCACTGCTGCCATCTTCTATCTGGCCTTCCTATCATCTTCCTCATGGTGGTGTTTACTTGGCCCCTGTTCCTCCCCTCCTACACCTCTCCTCCCAGCTCTATGTCTGATGACCTCGAGCAGGGTGGAGTTATGGGCCCTCTGCCTGGCTTATCCCTCTGGGTGGGTGTTCAGATAAGGTAGATTGTACTGAAGCCATCTGGGGACCCTCAAAGCCAGAGAAGTCAACTAGGGCAGAAGCTCACAGAAACCCATTTTATTTTGTCAGAAAGAAGCTTCGCCAGACAGAGGGAGTGACCTCCTGGAGTGCAGAGGAACACCACCCAACATGGGCCCTGTTGTACCAAGTGACTCAGAGAGGGGACACACCATCTGTAGGAGAGAGAGAGACAGAGAGAGAGAGAGAGAGAGAGAGAGAGCGCGAGCGCAGTGGGGGAGGGGGCTGGACCCTGGCAGGAGGGCAGGGTGGGTTTGGAGAAGTGTAGCTGCTCAAACGTGGTGCTCAGTGCAGGTGAAATAAGAGGAAGTTCCTGTAATGACTAAGTTTAACCTTCAGAACCAATTCATCCAACGGGAAGCCATGAGCTAGCACACACGCTATTGCTGTTAGGTGTCACCAAGTTGACAGGATCATGGACAACACAGCAAAGCCCTGCCCAATCCTGCATCCTCCTCACATTTTGGGCTGTGCCGAGTTGGGGCTACTGTGTCACCCCATCCCATTGAGGGACTTTCTCTCTTTTGCTGACTTTTCCAAGCATGTGCTCCTCTCTCCTCTGGTTAACATGTCCCAGATAGATGAGACAGTTTCACAGTTGCTATTATTCAAATACGTGCACCCACCACTGAGGCCAAAGAAGAAGAAATGAAAGATCCTGATCAACTTTTCAGTCTAAAATGGGTCAGCCATGCCATCAAGAGGCCCTGGCAATTACTGGTGACTGGATGAGAAAGTCAGAAATGAAGGATAGGCAGTTGGAAAATACGGTCTTGGCAGAATGAAATGACAAGAATATCACATGGCAGAGTTTTGCAAGGCCAATGACTTACTCATCAAAAGAATTTTTTTTTTTGTAAACAATACAAATGACACATGGGCCTCACTGGATCAATACACAAGAATCAGACTGACTATGTCTGTGGGAAGAGAAGATGAGCAGCTCAATATCAGCAGTCAAGACAAAGCCAGGAGTTTAGACCATCACCTGCTCGTTTGCAAGTTCAGACAGAAGCTGAAGAAAAGAAAAACGAGCCCATAAGAGCCAAAGTGCGATCTTGAGTTAATCCTACCTGAATGTGGAAACTATCTCAATAGGAGATTTGATGCACTGAGCACTAATAACTGGAGATCAACCAAGTTGTGGGATGACATCAAGGACATCATCATGAAGAAAGCAAAAGACTATTACAAAGACAGGAAACAAATACCAAAATGGATGTCAAAAGAGACTTTGAAACTTGCTCTCAAACATTGTTGTTACGTGGTGTCGAGCTACTTGTGATTCATAGCGACTTATGTACAACAGCCCTAAACACTGCTCTATCCTGTGTCAATCTTATTGTCTCTGACACGCCTACCCTCATTACCCCCCAGGCACTGAATTGATCCATCTCATTGATGGACTTCCTCTCCTGCACTGTCAGTCCACCCTCCCAAGCATGATGTCTTTCTCCAAGGACTTGTCCAAAATATTTCAGTCAAAGCCTCAGAATCCTTGCCTCTAAGGAACAGCCTGTTTTCACCCTTTCCAGGATGAATCTGTTTGTTCTCCTAGCAATCTGTGGTATATTCAATACTCATCTCCAACATCATAGCTCAAAGGCACCAATTCTCTATCATTTGCAGTCATTGTCCAGCTTTTTGATAAATAACAAATAATTGAGAAGACTATGGTCTAGATCAGGCACACCTTAGTCTCCAGACTGACATCATTGCTCTTTAGTATTCTGGCGAGATCTCTGATAGCAGACTTTCCCAGTGCAGTGCAATGCATCGTTAGATTTCCTGGCTGCTGGCACCAAGACTGTTGATAGTGGAGCCAAGCAAAGTAAAGCCGTTAACAATCTCACTCTCTTCACTGTCTATCATGATGCTGCCAATCGGCCTAGTGGTGAGAATCTTTGTTTTCTTCATGTTGAACTTCAATCCATATTGAAGGCTGCAGCAAGCACTTCAGGTCCTCCTCAGTTTCAGCAAGCTCTTAAACACAGAGAAGCTAAAACAAGAGGGGGACAAAAGATGAAATGAGAGAGCTGATTTCAAAGGGCTGCTTAAGAAGACAAGGCCCATTACAACTGTTTTTGTCTGTTGTCGAGTCCGAACTGACCCACAGCTGACCCTCAAGCAGGTTTTCAGAGGCAGTAAATAGCACAGGAGGAGACTGTCCACCTTTCTCACTAGGAGCAGCTGGTGGGTTTCAACCATGTACCTTTGGGTTGCCAGTGCAACTCCTTACTACTAGGTCACCAGAGCCCCCTTCCTTGAGAAGACAAGACATATTATAACTTGATGTACAAAAACCTGGGGTTAGAAATCCAGTAAAGAATAACATGCTCAACACATTGCTGAAGTGGAAAAAAAATTGAACAAATTCAAGCCTCATTGCAAGAGAAAAGTATTCTAAGATTCAAATAGGAATGATGCAGGAAGCATCAAAAGAAGACAGAGGGAGGAAAGTGTGCAACAATGTATGAGTAAAAAGGAAAAGAAAAGAAGATGGAAGAAATACAGAATCATTGTCCTGATAAGAGCTCCAGACCTGTGACCAAGAGAAACCTGTCCCTGGAGAAGATGTCATGGATGGAAAGGAAAAGAGAGGAAGATCCGGGATGAGGTGGAGTGTTGAAGTGACGGCGTACAACCACCACCACCAGCCTGAGGAAAGGCATTCCAGGGGAGGAGCATGAGCAAAGGCTAGGGGGTCAGCAGGAAAGGCGAGGGGATTGGCAGGACCCAGGTTAGTGGATGGCCCAGCCTGGGGTCGCGGTCGCTGGGATTGGAGCCCTGAATGCTGCCTTCAGAGGCACAGAGGGGCAGGGCCCTGTCCAGGATGGCTCTAAAGAGGACCACTTCAGGTTAGAGCAGGAGAACTTCCTGTGACCCTACGTGTGCCAGCATGCTGTTCCGACAGTGCTGCGCCAAAGAGCCGCCCTTGGGCTCTAAGCAGAGGCTTGCCAAGACAGGCAGGGGCAAACCTGGCATCTGTTTGGATGCCTTTACCCCATTGGCTCTGATGGAACCCCCTAGCCAGGTCTGTCCCCTGGCAATGTCTTTGGGTCTTTCAGGCCCTCGGAAGTGCCCAGGCTGTTGGGACCTTTCTATTAGCCATCAGGCCCAGCCATGATTCTGGAGTGAATACAACCCTGGGCAGAGGTCTGCTGCCATCAGCAGCTGTGGTACCTGCCACACATCTGATCCAGTGTGGGAAGGAGTCACGGGGACTCTGGGACTCCCTCCCCAGGCCTCCATTCTGCTCTGTCTTCACAGGCAGGGTTGGTGACTTGGGGGTGGACAAGGCAGCACCAAAGTATCCAGTGCCCAGTCCGTCTCAGAACTGAGAATTGCCCCGAGCTCTGTAGCTCACAGTGCCTCCTAGAGTACAAGACAGGCTCCTCCTTCTGGGACTCTTCTCACAGAGCTCCCAGGTCCTCACCTCCAACGAGGAGCCATTGTCAGAGCCTCAACTGGGTCCCTGAGGCCCACTGACGCCCGGCAGTGTTCGACAGCTTAAAGGGTCAGTAGATCCAGGTCTGGGTGCTTCTCTAACTAAGCCTGTTTCCTTATTTCTGAAAGGGTATTAGCCTGAGTGTCTCCACTCTGCGGGGCTGTGGGTGCACGCACGGCCGAGCGGACTGCCCTGGCAGTGCAGGACACGCCAGCACCTTCCTGCGTACATACTCCTGGGAATTCTGCCAGCGGAGGGCGGGGGACGGTCTGGCCTGATTCTCCTTTCAAAGGCTGCTGGTGCCTGGGGTCCTTGGCACCTGACCCTTCGCTCTTGTCCCAGACGGGGCGGGGACAACTTCTGAAGAGTAGACACTTCGTCACCGCCGTGCGTCCTGACGGTGGACATGGGTAAAGACGCCAGGTGTCCGAGGGAATGAGTCTGGGTACCCTTGCATCCCAGTGTCAGTAAGTGCCCAAGAGTCCCCGGTGTGACAGATGACAGAGAGGGGGCGTGGCGTCCAGACCCCGCCCCGCCCCTCCCGTATCCGCTCCCAGGCGGCGGTGGAAGCTCCCGGGCGCCATCCGGCTGAGCGCGGCCGACCAGCCGGGATGCGCGCCC